TGTCCCACAAGAGTGTCCCACAAGAGTGCCCTACAAGAGTGTCCCACAAGAGTGTCCTACAAGAGTGCCCCACAAGAGTTTCCCACAAGAGTGTCCCACAAGAGTGTCCCACAAGAGTGTCCCACAAGAGTGTCCCACAAGAGTGTCCCACAAGAGTGTCCTGCAAGAGTGTCCCACAAGAGTGTCTCACAAGAGTGTCCCAAAAGAGTGTCCCACAGGAGTGTCCCACAAGAGTGTCCCGCAACAGTGTCCCGCAAGAGTGTCTCACAAGAGTGTCCCTTAAGAGTGTCCCACAAGAGTGTCCCGCAACAGTGTCCCACAAGAGTGTCCTACAAGAGTGTCCCACAAGAGCTTCCTACAACACCTTGAGTACAAAACCTGGAGTGTTCGGATTTGGGGATGGGTCCTGACCCACCATGTAGCGACCATCGTCCATGATCACCGCAGCCGACCTTGCGGTGAACAGGGAACAGTCAATGACCGGCAAGCCGGTGATCTGTCGGAGCGAAGCGAAGCAGCCCCTGATCTACCTTGGTTTTTTCGTGGTTTTCTGTTTCAGGCTCGGAAAGGAAGCAAGGAGAAGTACGACCGCACCAAGTCACCCTCCACCGTGCACCTCGACGAGCAGACGGTCGGACGTGGGAGACAACGTGACGTGCATGAGACAGTCACATGTGGAGGTTGATCCAGTCAGTGTGCTAAAAGCCATGTTGAGGACCTGCCAATAGACCTGAGGAGAATCCCCAAGGCATTCATCGTGATGAATACAATCTGACCGCCGCACAATGAGATTGAGTATATTATATAGAGTATATTATTAGAGTAACTTTGATATAACAAACATAAGAATCAGCAGAATATCACACAAACTCACCCCTAATACCCAAAAATACATCTTGAGAGACCTTCAACATCCACCACCAGAGCTCTCACCTTCGGAGTCTTTGATTGTCCTCCCAAGCTGCGGACATCCGACTGGTGGTCGATCCTGAGGTCCTCCCGGTCGTTTCAGGGGTTGGTCGGGTGTAGAGACCAGCATGAAGTCTTCGCGATGAAGTCTTTGGTCTTGGCCCTATCCTCCTGAGGTATATCAATGTTAGCCTCCCGAAAGTATTCAGGACATACCTCAGGGACATGTGTTCTGAGCGGCTCATGGCCCCAGTCGAAACATGGTTTCACCATGCGGAACTCTTCATGCTTCATCTTCCGCTTTGTTGATGGTGGATTCCAGCCCAACTGTGAGGCTCCGACCCACCGAAATCTCTTTGCTCCGACGGTTGCCTCCTGGCTCCGGCTTCCCCAGGCCACTTTCGCCCGCCAATAGTCAACTCTTCTCTCCCAGCAGCAGCTTCCTGTTTCCGCCCAGCCCGGCTGCTGGGCGTCGCCGTAGGATCGGAGGGTGGGTCGCCCATCGGGACATCGGGTCCTCTTTGGGTCCCAACGGACGATGGAACTGGATGACGTCTATGGGTGAATCCGACCTGTCCCAGTCAGCTGTGAACCTTTTGAGTGCTTTCCAGAGCACTGGGCACTGGGAAACAGCAATCTCTGACTGAAGGGCAGACGATATATACACTGCACATCACTGCACTTTAAATACGTCCCTAAAAATGCCAACCGCCACCATTGAGCATTTAGGTACTGTATGTTGACATACCTTTTCATGGTCGTGCTCTACTCGAGGAGAGCGAAGTTGGACACAGTTGTTGGGATGTGCCTTGGTATAGGTTGAGGGGGCTATAAATGGAACCAAACCCAGAACCTATTTGTGTGTGCGTGTGTGTCTTTAATGATCTCAGAGCTCAACAGATGTTGGCAAGCTCCGGGCTTTGAGAAAGTGGAGTTTGCGTCTCACAAGCAGGTGGCAGCCCTCGTTGTTGTGTTTTTCTTCCAGCAACCTCCTTCTGTGCTGGATTCGACCCGAGGCTTCACCGCAAGTGAGCCCACTTGGCCCCTTGGCAGTGTTTGGTCGAGCTCGGACACAGGAACTAGAACATGGACATGACTCATGAATACTCGAAGAGCTGGTATTTGGACTTTCAATCGTGTCTTTTTTGGGCTTCCCAGCATAAGTGGTGTTTCTTGGGTAGTATCCGCATGTATCCGCCAGGCAAGGGCTTTTCGCAAAGCTTCAGCTTCAACCGCAACGACACGGGATTAACTGCCGCTCGGCGCCGCATCGTGTCTCCCCACCCGGACAGAGGACGCGGGGAGAGCTGCATCAGGTGCTGGGTGCTTGGCCAGGTCTGGTAAAAGAATACAGATGTACACAGATGTCCGGGACGAATCACTTGCTGATCACCCTGCTTGAAACTATCCGCTTGTAATTTCGCAAGACGCTCTTGATGGTTCTTCAAAGTGACCTTTTGATATCCCAGTTTGAGGTCACTTGTGCCTGTCAACGGTCACTTAGGGACTCTAAACATGTTAAGAAGCTGGTTTATGGTTGCTGACTTGCAGAATCGAACTGACACTCAAACCGAACTCCATGATGAATGGTGGATCCATCGCTGTAGATTTTCGTCCACCAAGCCACCATCCATGAGACTGGCATAGTTACGTTGTTCTTGAAGGTCTCTTAATAACCCCCCCATGTAGCTCATATGGGACCCTGGGTCCAAATCGTAGCTCATGTATGCTCATGTCGATTTTTTTCCCCACGGAACGACCAACAGAATAGACCACCGTCGGTCAACCCGACCGACCGTCGGTCAACCGACCGGGATGAGTTCGCGGTGCCATGACCCATGACGAGCTCATAGTGCCCTCCCAGAGGTGACGAGAGCGCTCGAAAAAGCTCGCTCGAAGTGTTCACTGCTCCCAGACGCTGGGACTCGGAGTGTTTGATGGTTGACATGGAGTGCTTGGGTGTCATTAAAGCTGCCCAAACAATCCCAAACACTCCATGTCATAGAGCTCTCATACCCCCCAAAGCGGTATGTTTGGAGTCATTAGAGCTGCCCCTGCACACTTGCAGGCACAGCTCTCCACTCAGCTCTCCTCCCAGCAGTCGGGGTCGTTGGCACAGCCGGCGGCGGATGCCGACGACGATGAGTACGACTCGAATGATGAGCAGGCCATGCTCAGCAGATATGCCCAGAGAAGCTTGGTGAAGGGAAATGAAATGCTAAAACTGCTCCCCAAAAAGGTTGTGGAAGAGTGTTGGCAAAGAAGAACGTCGGTTGAATTGTCAAACGCCTTTGCTCACGTATCTTTCAGTTGGAGTCACAGACTGCCCTCCCGGGTGTTCATCAATCCACATTGATTCACAAATGCGACAAGGCGATTCCCAAGGGTGCCATTTAGGCGCTAGACCATACATTGATGGGCGTGAACTGGCCGTGTTTGCTGGGATCTTGTTGGAAGGGTGTGGGCAATCCCTTCAGACATGGAAGTTCGACATTGGATGCTGCGGTTTCTAATTCACTTTGGTAGGGGACGTCCTTTTCTTTTGTGGATGTATAGAGCTTTTTGTGTGCTGTCCGACCAGTGTGTCAACAGTGCGTCCGTCACAATGACGGGACATGGCCGATTGAATAGATGGAAAAAATACACATGATTCTACCAATTGGTGGAATATCATGGAATATCACACGTCCCTACAAACCGCTCTTCTGCAATGCACGTCCATCGCTCGTTCTTTCTTTGTTTGGTGCTTACTGACCGCTGGCCAACTTCCACGCCGCAGCACCTCTCAGGATGCAATCCAGAGAAGATTCACAAGGTCCGTTCTGCTCTACTCCAGCCCCTTGCGAAAACGGACCAGGGGATGGAACGAAGAGGGACGAAGGGAGGCAGTTCACAGGGTGAGATCCAGAAATAACAACCATGCATGCAGAAAGAGAAGAATGAAAGACCGAAAAGAAAAGACTATATAGAAACGAACCAATAAGAAAAGAACGACAAGACGAGACAAGACAAGACAATGTGGCAATGAACGTTTTGAAAGGCTTGCTTTGCGTGGTGCAAGGATATGATTTTAATCTCTGGAAGCACCCAGAACGCCATGGGGGGTGAGGTTATAACATGTTGTAACTATGTTGAATCCTTCAAAAATAGAGTTACAAAAACTTATGATCGTGGTCAGAATCTATTATTGCGCTGCGCTGAATGTTGTTGTTTTGATGTGTTTTCTTTGTGCTAAAACGTGTCTATCTTCAAAATTTGCTCAAAAGCAAATGGAAATGGTGATGGCCGTTTTAAATGTGTAGGGTTTGTTTGTGTTTTCTGGGTGCGCGGTGCTGACCTCGTCAGCTCAGCATCTGTCATCGATGGTTCTGGCTGCGGCTCGTCCACAGGTTCTGCTTTGACAGGTGTTGAAGCATATGTTTATATTTTGGTTTGGATAGTAAGGCCAGGAGCCCAAAGGTAGGGTGCTTGTTCCCAGTAGTTGCTTTGCGGCCAGCGCCTGCTGCCCATTTGGCTTCGTCGTCCATCTCTGGTGATGGCAGTGGTTCGGCTGGGATGCTTCCTCTTCTGGGACATAGGGATCGTGGTTCTTCCGGGCCATGGACTGGTGGCGCTGCCTTCTAGTGGACTGGTAGGGCTGCTCTTTGCCTGCCATGCATCGGCCACAAAATCCACATGGCCCCATTGTGCAAGCTCTTCGAGCCAGAAACTGGAATGATGAGTTCGTCATATTGCTTCCAGAAAAGACTTGTTCAATCTATGCAACATGAGTTTTGCTTTTGCTCCAACCGTCGGTGATTTCCGAATATTGTTTGTTTGACATTTGGTGATTGCCAAAAAATATGTTTTGATGTCGTCCCCAAACCATTCCCTATACCAACCCCATACCACGACATACCAACCCCATACCAACCCCATACCACCCCATACCAACCCCATACCACCACATACCAACCTCATATCACCCCATACCAACCCCATACCAACCTCATACAACCCCATACCAACCCCATACTCCTACTACCATTACTACTAGTATTTTTCTACTGCTGTTACTGTTACTTGTTTAAATTGTGTTTTTACGCTATAGACTAGTCTATTGTGTGATCCTGGGATCCTTACATGTTTGTTTTTATGTTGAACATCGCCTCGTTTGTCCTAGATGTTGTTTGTTGTTGATCCCATCACTATTTGAGTTTTTCGATTTGTTTGATGCTCCAGCCGGTTTCACGGACATACATACATACATACATAGTTCCAGAAGGACCGCCGGCGAGACACAGAGCCCAAGAGAGGTAGACGAATCTATCCTTTTCAAGAGTGGGTCATTTTTACAGTATCCATATTTGGGGTCATCTTTAGCAAAGCCTGGCGCAACTGTGATACTTGGATCGCTATAGCCTTCGCTGTTAGATTGCGCGATCTGCCTTGTGGTTGTTTTGGACGGATTTGCACTTCAGAATGTGAACAGGCATTTTGATTCACGACTCCTATTGCTTGGAACACTCTGCAAGAGGACAACAGTAGTATAAGTTCCCTTCATAGCAGCGTCATATCGGTCTTTGGAGTGTTGAATGAAATGGTTGTTTTCAGGCACCAAAAGACAAGTCTCTCCTTCGGTCATTGTGCAAGCTAAAAAATATCAACCTGCGAAACTTTGCGAGTCATCCAGATTGAACTTGGCACTCATACTCATGTACCCTGCACACATGTGCCCACATTTCTCCCCCAGGTGACCCCGCCCCAACTGATCGGCCAATCTTCCACGCAAATTGCAGGGGTTTTGGTGTTTGGGATAGATGGCCGTGTGCTTGGATCTTGGAGAGAAAAACGTGTGTTCTTTTCGTGGAAAGCCTGGAAAGCGTGGAATTTGGGCCGGTGTTGGGCGGCCTTCTCCAGGTGTGTGTGTGTGTGTTGAGGCTGGGGCATCAGATTCCCAGCCAGAAGGAAGAGGTCGAACAGGTGGGGCGCTTGGCACAGGCATCGGTATCAGAGTGCCATTCGGATAGACTCATGGTTTTCCCATGCACCTGGAAAAGGATGTCTGATTCAAATCCCTAGGGGGTTAGGAGGTTTGTGGTTTAAACCTGGTCTGGGACGACTTCTATAATACCGGAATTCTGGTGTTTTGATGTGTTCCTTAGGATTCCACCCACCATTGTTTCAAAGGCCTTTACCAAACAAACCATTGTTATACTAGGGATTTGTACACTACAAAACCAGGTCAACCAATTTGGAAATGGTAATTGGAGGCTATTAATTGTTTTCTCTGGATTTTGTGTTGCTTTGATTATGGTGCTTGTTTGAGCCGAGCTGCATGCATCCTCCAGAGCCATGACCCAATCAACCAAAAAAAACAATAACACAATACAATTTTGTTCTTCTACACTGCGTGTCCGTTTTTTTTCCAAACTTTTTCATGCCTGGCTGGTCATCTATCCCTCCAAAGCCCGCAAGCTAGTCATGTCACCCCGCCGGTTTCCAGAAGTCAGGGGGGCCCCCGTTTCATCCGAAGCCCATGGCCTTTTCTTTGGTGCTTGGGACGGCAGTCATCTACCTCCGTGTAGCGAGGTCCAAGACATGGCCAGCCGGGTCATGTCCAATCCATGAACCGCGCCTGCAAATCCCGTTGAACCCATCATCCAAGTGGCGTCGTCTAGCACAAGACTTCTTTGCGTGGGTCGTCTAGCCAGACGGGTCGTCTAGCACGTCTAGCCAGAGCCTTTCTTTTTTGCAAATGAGACGTGAATCACCGACTTGGATCGTCCTGGACGCATCTGAATCTTAGATTCATACCTGGAACTAATGGTTCACTGCAGAATAATTCAACATAACCTCATACTCCAAACATCAACTGTGATAGATCCGACCTTTGACTCGATCAGGAGGTGCAAGCGTATCAGCAGACCATGCAAGACCGTCTAACTCGCCTGGGAGTCTCCGGCCCCGGCGGTGCAAGCACCGTGTCTGCGGACCCCTCGGATGCTCGGTCAGTGCGGCTTGCGTGGAGGTGAGGTTTCTTGGGGGGCTAAGTTGGGTAATAGGTGCCCGGAAAACCAACGAAAACAGACAGAAAAACTGACATGGATGTGTCCCCACTTGTGACGTAAAGGATCTCTCAATGGGCTATATTGGAACAACCTTTTGTTTCTGGTTGGGACTGGCTTTCCAGGCGGGTTGTGGGCGTGAGTTTTGAGAACCTGATTGAACACCCCACATGTTTCAGGTTAAGTGGGTTGAGTGTTGATCCCACTTTCGGGCTGATGAACCTACGTTTCTGGACGACCGTTCCACACTCCCGGACGGAGTCCACGGTTTTCGGGCAAGGACTGCAAGGACTGCGTTGGAAGGTCTTGGGCCAAGAACAAGGTAAACCGATATCCCAGTTGTCCGTTCGATGAGTCTGGATGATGATCCGTCTTTTTTTGAGTACTCAGTCTTGATGACGCTACGTTCGGGGCGAACGCATCGCCTTACTACTAGGAGCAAGGACGCTATTAGGGGCCGATCGGTCTACTAGTTGCCCCCACCTCGGAGTCTCCCCAGTGGAGTCGTCATGGTCGAGTCATGTCCCGATTCTCGGGTACAAATCCCGGTGGTTCATCGGGTTTTGGCAGAAAGGACGGGATTTCTGCTTGACTCTTTCCCAGACACTCCATGGGACTGCCATCTGCCATATATGTCTAATTACATTGACCCCCAAAACCACCCCAATGTAGGCATATATGGCAGTCCCATGGAGTGTTTGGGTGAACTCCACTCCAATGTGAGTTCCAGGGAAAATACATGCCGACTTGCTAGAGATGGTATGGCGAGATCTTTCGGTGATGCCCAGTAACATCTTCGATCTGTTTGTTCATTCCTTGGGCAGGGTGTTGTTGGATTGGACCTCTCCTCACCCGATCTGGGCTCGAAAGACCTGTTTAGGTCGTGATGACCCTTGAAACCCAGGTCCCACCCTTGTCAGGTGTTGCAGATAGCCGACCAATCGGGTAGACGAGCTCGGAGGGCTCGCTCGGCCTGAGCTTGGCCTCGTTGGTGTCGTGAAGACCTGGATGAATTGGGAATAAGAATCGACGTTCGGGCCTTGGTTTCTGAGATGTTATTATACAACTTTAGGATCCCCGTGCGTATTTTTCTCTCCGAAATCAGAGGATCATACATGCCCAACTCACTGAGGTCGACCGATGCATATATGAGGTCTTTGGCCACTCATGTTGTAAGGATTTGTCACTAACAACCTGGGACAGCCGGGGCCCATCAGGGGCTTACAAAAGACGATGCCGCGATCTTTGTAGCGATTTGTGATGCTGACTGCAGGACTACAGAATGATCTTGTCTATTTGATTGTGTAGTAGAAGGCATCAACCTTCTTGAGGTTGATGCCATTATTTTTTTCCAGAGCTCAATGAAGCTCTATACAAAATGATGTCAAGTAATTCCATTTTGTAAGGACCAAGCTAACATGTTGTACGGCGGAAAGGCCTTTCTGTACTGTTTTTGCCCATGAATTCGTTTGAGGATACTTTAGGATATCAGCGGTAGAGAGCCGATAGGAATTGGTTGTCAATGCTGTTATATACATCGCAGATTCGGGTCCGGATTGATTGTGTTTTGATATTGATCTTCATTGATGTTCCATACGTTTTACCCAACTATAGGCTCAGGGGGACAGGCACTATGCATGAATATTCCATCTTCACGGTGGCATGGTGTGGGTGCATTTGTCCCCGGTATCCACCTGACTCACAAACCTATATACAGAAAAATGTTTCTGGGGTTTGGACCATCGTTTCCGATCGTTTCCGCCAATCTATGGGCCAAGAAAGTTTCATATTTCCATAGATTTTCCCTCCAACCGAAAAACCTTTTAAGATGTTCTCCAACCAATTTAGCATGGAATTGCGTGTCTTGCCTCAGGAAGCTGTGAAGGATGCTCTGTTGTGCCTTGGCGGTACCATGGGTCCAAACTGAGATCCTTTTTGTGAGCCTCGTTTGATGACTTAGACAACCAACTCAAACATCCCACCAGCAGAACCACCCATAGAGTCCACTTACTGTTATACAGGTGTGTTCTGTATGGGGAAGACTGGTTCTTCTTTTTAGAGGCTGTTTTGCTTGAAGTCAGCAGCTTCCTCACTGGACATACCAAAGGTGGGGGAAGCGATGCTGGACATGTGAGGCCGAAGTCCAGTCTTATCAATTCTCATCTCCAGCCACCCAGAGGATGTAAGTGTGCCTGGTGAGCTCAAACTGCTGTGAGTTGAGCAGAGTCCCAATGTCATGAACCAGATCGGTTTCATGTTCCTGAGTGTGCCTCTTGATGTTGGATTTGCTTCTTATGATTACGTGTGTTGTCGTCTTTGGATGATCACCTCAAGCTTGCTGGAGTCGTGAACTAACTCCAAGACCTTTCAGTGACCGAAGAAGCATGTTGCGGTATTTTGTGTCGAAGAAACACCCAAGAATCATCAAGAATCGTTACTAAGATTCAGTATCATGTTCAAAAATATTTGTCACCTATGCGTCACCTTTATTGTTTTGTTGACGTATGTTGTGTTTAAATGCTTTGTCCATAAATTGGAAGATTCGACAAACAGATACAAGGGCTGGCCAGAATGGTTATAGTTGTTTGATCGCTTGGACCTACGCAAGCCACCTACAACTGGAGCTGGCGGCAGGTCCAGGACGCTTCAAGATTGCTAAGTTTTGTGTTCTGCAGCGCCTGCAGGAAGGAATCGATCTCAGCAACCAGGATCAAAGACTCAGATCGTTTGGTGGGGATATGTGTGTTTTTCACGTCGTAGCTTGTTGAAACCATAATCAGATTTGTGCAAAAAGAACCAAACTCACAACTCGGGCGCCCCAGCCACGTGTTTGGGGTCGCCACACCGGCCACGCCTGGGGCAAGGCGCTACCACAGCGCCTGCGAGAAGTTGGGAAAGCTCTACGCCTTCGAAAAGCCCAAGCGAGTGGCTGGGCGACAAGTGGCGGCAGGGGACACCAGAGATTTGGACACAAACCAAACCAGAGTTCTACTTCCGCGCACGTGGAAGTATCTGTGGATGATTGGCTGTTCTCGAAGATATAGATGAAACAAATATTTACTTCAGAGGTTCATATTCTTTGGAGCTCTCGGGTCCCAGGCTCCTGGCCAGGAGGGTCCTGGCTGCCTACAGATGGTGTTCCTGAAACCGCACCAAACTGATCGGCAAAGTGTCCCCGTGTGTGGAATGCTTGGGGTATACTGAAATAATTGTGGAAAGTGGAACAGTTCTTACCTGGAAGACAATTTTCCTCCAAAATAGGAGCTTTGCTCAGCTTCCATGATTGTTTGTTAAAAGGTATAATGCCAGTGAGGTCCTGCAGATGTCGAACTCACCGATTTGCTCCGTTCAGTGTCTTTTTGGAAACGTGTTGTTGCAACGAACAACCTCTCGGCATGCAAGATGTTCAGGTGAAAAAAGGTGTTTCAAGCCCCTGGAACTCGTGTGTTTGCTTGAATCGGTCTTGAAACCTTGCTGCTCCGCACCGGCTGACGTCTATCAGCTTGTAGGGCCCAGACTTGGAACATCATTTTGATCGGCTCGCAGGAGTTACCCCTCCAACAATCATGGAAGTGGACAACGGCCTTCTGGAATACTATGTTATGTTCATCAATTTCCCTGATATCAATGGTCCACTTCCATGATCCCTACCCGCTTAGGTCCACTTCTGGGGGGGGGACCTAGAAAAATGTAACTTACAATTTCCGGGGGACCCCATAAATGTATGTTGACCCCCCCCCTCGTTTTGGGCCCTACTTATTCAAGTAGAGGCCATATTCATGGTCCCCCCCCCTCCCAGATTTTTGCTGTGTTTGGGTATGTCCCTGCGTGCATGTTCATTCCTGGGAATTCTCCAGGAAATGAGGTGGTGGCTGGTGTGTGTCAGTTAGAAATTTTAGGGGTGCTGGAGAAAATGCAACTTACCACGTCCCACGTCCCACGTCCTAACAAACCAAAAAAATGTAAGCTACATTTGTTTAGGATATGACAAACACATGTAGCTAACATTTTTTTAGCACTTACAGGAAACATATATGCTTACATTTTTTAGGTTCACTTTGCATACCCCCCCCCCCAGGGAAAATGTAACTTACATTTTTTAGGTCCCCCCTATTATATAATATGTAGGGATCTTCCATGTTTGTTTCAGGAAGTGTACGTCTCCCCCCAAAAAAGATAGTTACAGTAGACGTGTGCTCCGTAACGGTGCCACCTGCGCAGACACGACCGCCACCTGGCAGTTACCATTCAAAGCCAGCCCTAAACACGATGTAGCTGGACCGTCCAGCCTCAAACAAGGTATCCTGCTTTTCACCCATCCCCATCTTATTTCCAGTTAAGTCTATGGGTGGTGTTTGGATAGGGAGCACGCGTTGGCTTATAGACCACCCTTTCTTTGCATCCGCATGATTGCTGGAAAATGGCATCCTCCTTCACTCGTCTTGACACCTCCTGGCGTCTCCAGCAACTGGCGTGGCCACTGGCGTGGTCACAGCCACACTGCCGTGGTCAGTCACCGTATTTTTGGGGGTCCATGTCGTGGGTTTTCCACGCACTCGGCACGCTTGTTCGTCATCGACGCAGTCGTAACTTTCGGCCTAACAAAACGGGTCAACCCGACCGTTTCGGGCGTCCGACATTGTTCGGCAGATGCTCGGTCCCAGGATGCCCCGCCGGACATGGAAGCACGAAGGCAGATCGCACGCTTCGTGAGAGATCTAAAGGAGCGAGCTCGGAGGGGCTGGGATGCGATGGATCGCATGTGGATTGTTCTTAAGTTATAAGCGATGTATTCCAGAAAAGAGCCATGGGTTGTCTACATTCTACATCTTGACCTTGTTTCAAAAGTTCAGTCCAGTGTCCTGGCATTGGCATTGGTAACAAAGATGGGGAGACGAGATGAGCAAGGCAATGGCACATGAACCAGCTGCGACATGGCGCGATGTGGGTGTTCATGCAAGTTTGAAGGTGCTTTTCCTCAACAAAGTTCATCTAAGCTGCCCAACGGTCCAGTGGTAGAGACAGTGAAGGACGGGGGACCTGCGAGTGAAGCCGTCGCAATGGAACTAGAAGTTGAGAGATACTGGAGAACCAACCCAGTCCAAACATGACCCACCCAATGAGCAAATATCATGTAATAGACTGCATGCATCGATGTATATTGATTTATGTGTGTACTGGTGCACCTGATGTGTGAGCACCAAGCGTAAGAAGATCTGATCATGCATCAATGAACAAGCTTTTCGAATCACCGTTCAAAAGCTTCAGATCGTATGGAGAAGTCCATGAGGCTACCGGGTACGCTTGAAACAAAAAAACATGGGCTTGGTGGCACTTCAGGATCCCAACACAGACGATCACGGCGGATATGCATCACTTGGCTTTTTTCGGGCACGGCTTCAGCTGGAGTATCTTTGGTTTGGTGTTCGACAGATGTGCCTAGAGTCTCAAAGTACCTTGACAAATGGGTATAAGGACTGGTGGGTTCTTTGGAGGGTCGAGGTGGAAGCTATGGTTAAGCTATGGTTAAGCCCCTTTTTGTGGCCCGAGAAACTCCAGGTTCGACAGATGTCGAGACATGAGCGGCATCTCAGATGCTGGATGTGAAGGGACGTTGCGTGTGTGAAGTTGGGTTTTTTTCGGACACCACACTACGGGCACGTCGCACTCGGCAACAAGAATCCTTCAAAGTGAATCCACGGTCGACCATCCTGCCACCTAGGTTGCTTTCCTGCCACCGCTTCCACACGGCGAATCTGTGGCCCTGCCACCCTCACGGTGCTCCGCTCGCTCTCAGGAGGCAGATCCCGATCGCTATGGACCGACGGAGGCCCGGCGAGTGAGCGTGATCCAAGTGGAACCGTTGATAGAGCCCACGCAGGAGCTGCTCCTTTGATTCGGAATACACCCAAACTTTGGACCCAAAAACCCAGGGCAAGGTGGAGGTTGTTTGACCCGGACTCACACTCCATGTTATGGGACGGACATGGTTCCATATAGTTGCTTACATTGGGGCTACGTTGACCTGGGGTCAATTTGACGGCATACATTGTTTCAATGCTTTTCATACATTGAAAAGCATTGAAAAGCATTGAAACAATATATGTATGACCCAAGCTGTTTGGGTTAGATTTGGCTTGCGCTGTGTTTGATGACCCGTTCAAAGGATCTGAGAGACGTCCGAACCGACCGTCCGAACGTCTCCGGAAAAGCTCCGACGTCGTGTGGTCGAGACCTGAAGGAAAAGCCACCAGCATCGATTGAAGGGGGGTCCATTCTGGAATCACAAACTTCAAAGGAACAGACTCATGGGCAAAATTCCTAGGGATCTTAGGCTGACATAGCTCCCAAAGGGATCCAGTCGCTGGTTTAAGATCCCTTTTGCCATGCGCAGACGCCAGCATGCTGTCTGCACGTGGCTGCGAAAAACCGGCGCCAGCGCGTGGAGGATGGTTCAGGGGGATGGACTTGGTGTTTGGCGTGAGCGCGGCCTTGGCGCCATGTCCACAAGGTCTTGGCATCTGAAGAACTGAGAAGGGGGTTGGAAGATGACCATTGGTCGCATTGGTCCTTGGAAGACGAGCAGTTTTCTTTGTTCGTTACACTGGTCAGAAGGCATTGGTTGCTGTTTGAGCAGAGTGTCCTCTCTCAATTTAGGCATATACTCCAGTCATCTCCATTTTTTTGGAGTGTCTGGGATTGTCTTTTTCATACTGCAAAAACATATATATTATAGAATCCTCTTTTGGTGGCCATACGGGCGTGCCCCTTTGGCGAGGTTGGGGTGCTATGGTTGTTGAGCTCTCTCGTGAACATCGAATTCAGCGGATGGTCCAAAGCATGGTCCAAAGCACTCGAATAGCTCTACACAACAGTTAACTCCCGTTTTCTCCAATTACCTTCTCAGAAGGTATTTGGATCCCGGTCTGTGTAGAAGCAAAGCAAATAGAACATAACTATCAACCCCTGGTCAGCCACCCCAAGATATTCTCAAATAGATATGCCACCCAGACACTCATGGACCCTCATATGCAGGGCATGGACCCTCATGTGGAGGGTCGGACCCTCATATGGAGGGGTTTGGGGTCTCAAATCTCTAGGTTTTGAGGGACCAAGGGCTGCTTGGAGCGTCTGGGCATATGATATACTTTACCGGTCCCAGTACGTCAACGGAGGTGATCACGAACGTACGTTCCACCGAAAGGTCTGAGTCTTATGGAGCAACTCAAAAGGACCCTCCAACCAAACAAAAGGATTCTCCTGGAGCCAGCCTTTAGAGGAAGGTCTTTCTTGGTGACGCAGTGGGTTTTTTTCTGAGGTTGTTCGTGACCAACATACGAGACGGATGCTTTGGGACGTCCCACCCGAACCCGGTGAAACCATCTCGACACCGACGTCTTGGACGTGGCCGGACACGTGAAAAACAGGTGTGGTCAGCTGATGCTCAGACCTCACGAGTGGACGAAACCACCTGCTCAGATGCTCCAAACAGCCCTTGGTCCCTCAAAACCTAGGGAATTGAGACCCCAGACCCCTCCATATGAGGGTCCGACCCCTCCATATGAGGGTCCAGGAGCGTCTGGGTAAGCAGAAAGCAGACGGTAGAGATGGCCGCTTGTTTTTGTTTCTGGCTCGTAGAGATGGGCGTGAAGTCGTTGTTGCCCTTCTTGCGGAAGAACTACCCACAGGCCGATGACCGCGGATGACCGCGGACCGGAGAGTGCGGCGCAGGGGCGGGGTGCACCGGGGAAGGTGCTCTGTTTAGACCTGCGCCGGTGAACTGCCGTGGCAAGGTAGGTCATGCTGAAGAAAGAGGCAGCAGACTTCAGGTGGTACCTGCAATGGCACAGTGAAGGGCTTATGAAGAGGCATCCCACATAACCCGAACAGATGCAGAAGAGCAGTTGAGGATGGCAATAATGACATTGTTCATGGGAGCGACAGTGCTTTCCACGTTCCAGCTGGATACTGTGTCTCCACACACGCACGACGCCTCGAAGCTGTACCTGCATAACAAGAAGCCAAAAGGCACCCTCAGGATCTGTGCCCTTGATCAGTGATGTAGTCGGAAGTAGCAGAGTTTCCTGTACTACTTGGAAAGAACTGGTTGTTCCAGTATCGCTGAGATCCTTTGCATATACATAGGAACTGGCTGGGACTGGGGAAAATGATTTTGTTTTTGGCTGTGTCCTTGAACGCCAGCGCCATGAAGTCGGAGCAATGCAGTTGCGGGTCCCAGGATGCAAAAAAACGCGTCGGGTGTGTCGGGGTGTCAGGTCCAAGGCTTCAATCTACGACTCGGTACGCCTTCCTTTATCCACTACCACCCTCCCATCGAAGCTGCGCAACCGCCACTGGTGTTCCCGGTGCCATCGTGCCACATCGGTCCAGTCCAAACGTCCAAACCTGAGATGGTGTGAATCCAATCCCCAAAGCCAATCACTCTCATTCACCCTCAGATTACAAAGATGCCCCCAAAAAAACGGAGGCTGACGGATGCTCCACCTGTTGCTGTTCGCAGCCTCTGACGGATGCTCCACGGAGCGTCGGCCCTGTCGTAGGTGGTGCGACCCTTGGTCGCCGCGGACCTGGCGGGCCACACCCTGTGGGTGGACGCCGCTTGACCTGGTGCGACCGGTGCGGAGGGTCGGAGGGTCGGAGGGTGAGACGTTTGAAGAAAAGCAGGAGGTGAATGGTGAGACCCAATGGTTGTTATACATGCGTTTTTACGGATGTTCTACGGTTTTGAGGTGTTTTGGGGCACCCACCCAGTGAGGTGGAGATGATGCTTTGGGCACCCGCGACTTCCTCCATGAAGCTTTGGAACTGGAAGTTGAATCGCTGATGGACACAGCTGGAAGAATGATCGTTGGAGTCCAACAGCTCCGTAGTTGGACTATCCGTCATGGCTTGGGTAGAAGTCTTAGGATTGAGATTCTGTGGTTGGGGTCGTTTGGGGTCGAGCCCACACTGGTCACTGGTCTCTCAAGCCTTATGGATTATAGACTGGAGCATGGCTTCGAGATGCTTCGAGCATGCACAGTGACTGTTCTCTGTCGTGGAAGGTCATCCAGGCCAGAAATGACATGGCCCTACTTAAAGCAACAAATACTCCACAGATTTGCACAGACTTCAAGACAGCATGGTAAAACAATGGTTCTTTGGTAAAGACCAACAATGGTGGGCCAGGAGTTCTACCAAAATATACTGAGTCTTCAGTACAGAATCTCCTTGAGGACCCAATGACCCGACGTGCCGCATGCTGAGATGCTTCATCCGCAGCCGGCGCCTTAGGTGCATGGGCCTTTGCTCCGCTTCGCTTATGCTCAGCCCTTGTACCATGTAGGCATCATCCAGCGGTTCCTCCTTTTTGCCAAGGACAATAGATGTTTCGCTTCAGGGTGCACATCCCCCACAGCTTACCAAGTACAGAGGAGCTTTGGACCTGCACCAGTGCCTTCGGGGTGTCTTTTTTACCAAAGACGGCGTTTGTTAAGAGAAGGTGGAAATCAGCGTAACAACAGATGTGCGTCTTTTGGTGTCCAAACAGCATCTTTCCCGTCCATGGATGTTGAGCACTCGTTCCCTATATACCCTTGAGCTAAATGGCATGTCTTCACTGAAATCCCTTCCACCAAATATGTTCACATGAGATGCAGCTGGGTCAGAAAGGCGGTGGCCTCTTGCGTGCGATCTGCCAGGAGCTTCAGTCCTACGGAGCCACTCCGATCTTTGTTTTCGATTCCAACCGCCCCAAGGAGGCGCCAACCAACACCGGTGTCACGATCGCACGCGAACCGGTCGCCAGAAGAATCGAAGCATGCCCGGTTCGAAGACGCGTCGCGGAGACCCGTTCGTGCGGAATCGAAGATCACAAGGCTAGAGGAGACCCGTTCGTAGCGTCCACGTGACATCTTCCTTTTGGTGCTCATGACTCGTAGGAAAGGATGGACACGAGGAAAATGATTCGATAGCAGAAGCGTGGGGACATTTGATTCTAATTTATGTGATTTTTCTGTTTGTTGTCTATTTCCTCAGTTTGACAAGAGGCCAAACTTGAACAAATTCATGTGTCACTTGGAAAAGTAATAACATGTTTTCAGCCACAACATTGTGATGTTTCGTCTTCATTTGTCTTGCGACTTCTCCTTCTAGATGGACGCTTATCTAATGCGATTCATGCCACAGAGTCTATTCTGTTTTGGGGTTTTGACAAGATGCCAGCCAAGCCTAAAATTGTATTTTCTACATGACTCGAATCTACTACATGCATGACCCTTATCTGGCCGAAAGATGTTTTACACCCAAACCATCCACAAGAATAGCTGCATTCCCTGAAAAACAAACACATCCACATGCGCAAATCCATGTATTTTGTCGAAGAATCAATGAAAGTCAACACACCAACAAAACCTAACACCATCATATAAGGAACACACCTGGACGATGTTTTCTGCGTGTTTTAATCTTTGGGACACACCGAAGGAAAAAAAACAAGCACGATGTCCGAAGGCAAAGGTGCGACACACCTTGCTGAAGCGAGATGGCGAGTGGATCCAGAGGCGCTTTTTTGCCGCCACTTTGCGGTGCACGCGCGAGGGACGGGGGATCCATGTTCGTTTCACCAAAGGGGTCAGCTCCTTTCAGGGCTGAAATTAGATGGGAAACGGCTCAAAGCGTCAACGAACATGCTTTTTCTGCAAGAAAATGAACATTGAACATGAAAGGTTCACCTGGTCCGGTCCATGGTCAAACATACTTAACACAAAAATTGAACGGTTGATGGTATAAACCACCTCAAATGCGCCCTTCCAATTCCAGGCAGACGTGTTTTTTGGTACCTATTTTCTTGCATCGACTTGGGCCGATGATGATGGACCACTTCGGCCGATGATGGGTCCTGCCGTTGG